GCCTCATCTGTACTGGATTACATCTCCGAAACCACAGACAGTGTCACCACCCAGAAACGGATCACCATGTACCCCAACCAGAAGCCTTGGATGAACCGGGATGTTCGTCTCCTCCTGAAGGCCCGCAACACCGCCTTTAGGTCAGGAGATGCACACGCCTACAGCACAGCCAGGGCTAATCTAAAGAAGAGCTCTGCAAGCAGAATGGACGTAATGTGGAAAAAGGAGCTGCAGATGGAACTGAAGGACTCAGTATTTTGGACTGACAGCACCTCTGTCCTAAAATATATCAACAATAAAACAACAAGGTTCCGCACTTTTGTCGCCAACAAAGTTTCTGAGATTGTCAAAGTTTCAAATCCTCAACAATGGAGATATGTGGACACGGATAACAATCCAGCAGATTTGGCTTCTCGAGGTTTAACGGTACAATCCTTTTTGAAAAATAAACAAACTTGGCTCTCTGGACCTCCATTTCTTCTACTACCACAAGAGGAGTGGCCTCAGAATCCTGATGAAGTGAAACAACTCTCATCAAGTGATGCAGAAATTAAAACAACAGTGAATGCTGTTCAGACATCTCAAGAAATGGATCCGGTTTCTCACTTCATTCAGTATTTTTCATCCTGGACTCAGCTGATTCTTAATTCCACCTTAACTGTACAAAGTCTTGATGAAGAGAGCCTCAGGACTGTTTTAATGGAGGCTGAAGCTATTTTGAATGGTCGTCCTATGACAAAGGCTTCTACAGATCCAAATGACCTTGAAGCACTTACTCCAAACCACCTGTTGCTTCTTAAGTCTGCACCATCATTACCACCAGGATGTTTTCAAAAAGATGACATATATGCTCGTCGCAGATGGAAACAAGTCCAATATATGTCAGATTTATTCTGGAAAAGGTGGATTAAAGAATATCTTCCACAACTGCAACAAAGACAGAAATGGTGCAACCCAAAACGAAACTTCATGCCAGGAGACATTGTGATCATTGTTGATGATTCCGCACCACGGAATTCCTGGATAACTGGAAAAATAGAAGAGACAATCCAGGACAAAAGGGGATTTGTTCGTCATCTTCGGATCAAGACAAAGACTGGATTCCTAAACAGACCTATAAATAAAGTCTGTCTTTTGCAAGAAACGGATAATATTTAACGAATTGGACTGACTGGATAATCTTTAAGTGACCTACTCCTTTTAGCTATGGGTTACTAACCTCACAGATGGTGAACCACAAGTAGTAGTACTGATGCATGTTGCACTAAAGGGCGATTGAAATGTTTTATGAACAAGCAAATTATGTAAGACTTGATTATTTTGTAATTATTATTTAAAAGATAATAATTAGGGGCCGGTATTGTAAGAGCCAAAGTCAATGTTTATGTTTTTCCTTTTTGTTTTGGTGGCACAGGTGTATAGTTTTACCTGCGTCTCAGGTGATGGTATGTGGGTGTGGTCACAGTCTATTTACCTGATGTCGGTGTTCGCAGCAGGTGTGTTGGGTGAGTGGTTTGTGGGCAAACTTTTCTGTTGACCGTCATTTTTTGGCACACCAGTTAATCCATGCGCTAGTTGTAAATTGATTGAAAGCGCAAATGTTTGTTTTTGTTTTGTTCTTAAAATAAATGCGCAAAGTACAAGTTCGACTCATTATGGATTATTGGAGGCGCGTCACAGGGACACAACCAACTCAGCCGGCCGCGGCTTTATTTACGGATGAAAGTCGCAACACCGCCTACAGGGAGGAGGTGGATCGTCTGGCTGAGTGGTGCGACAGAAACAACCTGCTGCTTAACACCGAGAAGACCAAGGAGCTCATCGTGGACTACAGGAGGAATGCTGACCCACATCCACCCATCCACATTAAGGGGACGGCTGTGGAGCGTGTGAGCAGCTTCAAGTTCCTGGGAGTCCACATCTCCGAGGATCTCACCTGGACGACCAACTGCTCCAAGCTGGTCAAGAAGGCTCACCAGCGCCTCTTCTTCTTGAGGACTCTGAGGAAGAACCACCTGTCCTCAGACATCCTGGTGAACTTCTATCGTTGCACCATCGAGAGCATCCTGACCAACTGTATAACAGTCTGGTACGGGAACTGCTCTGCCTCGGACCGGAAGGCGTTGCAGAGGGTCGTGAAAACTGCCCAGCGCATCGCCGGAGCACCACTTCCTGCCATAAAAGACATCTACAGGAAGCGGTGTCTGAAAAGGGCTGGGAAAATCATCAAAGACCCCAGTCACCCATCACATGGACTCTTCACCCTCCTGCCCTCTGGGAGGCGCCACAGGAGCCTCCGGACTAAGACCACCAGGTACCGGAACAGCTTCTTCCCCACAGCTGTCAGACTCCTGAACTCTGCCTCCTGACATCTGACCCACGTTAAACTCATGGACTGAACATACACACACCCACAATGGACAACTGTACCCTCAAACACACAATAATAACATGGACTGAACCACCACTCACAACCACCAGCACTTTATATAGCCTCTGTAGAATTATCCACATATCTCACTTATCTTAACTGCACTACTGTATAGCTCTGTGTAAATAATCATTCTGTACATACGATAATTTTTAACCCTACAACTGTTTACAACTTGCATAGTTCCCATTTCTGTATAGCTGTATATCTCAGATTCTGTAAAGTTATTTATTTCATATTCTGTATAGTTTTTCATATTTATATCCTGTTCATAGCCTGTACATAGCTTGTACTCACTACAGCCTGTACATACTTATAGTTATAGAATATTCACAACATACTTCATACCGTGTACATTATAACATACCATAATAGACCCATTTCTGTAATATACTCACATATCTATATTATTGCTAATATATATTGTAATATATCTATATCACTAAAGCACTTCTGGATGGATGCAAACTGCATTTCGTTGCCTTGTACCTGTGCATGTGCAATGACAATAAAGTGGAATTCTATTCTATTCTATTCTATAAAGGAAGCAGCAGGCTCAGTTTCTTATTGACGTCCAAATAACACAGGTCTGCAAACAGAACATTGTATATGATTTTTTTTGACTGTTTCTTATAGATTTTTACTCACAGAAACTGGGAAAATTCCTGTAAAAGTTCCACCTCATCAGGTTTTCTTGCAACACTCATGTTTTTACTGTAATTAACCTTTTTAAACTGAAATCTGGTATCCTTTAATTGAATCAAAAAACCATATCCAATAAGGATTCCTTACATTAATTTAATGTTTCTAAGAGCGAGACATACAACTAGAAAATGTGAGGAATTGAGGGGGGTCAGTAGGAGGGTAGGAGGGGGGAGGGTACGGTGTCGGTGTGAGGAGCTCAGTTGATCATGTCCCAAAAGGTTTATTTTGTTCATAGCCAAAGCTAAAGAAAAAGTGTGCACAGTTAAATTATTGATACTTTTCATCGCTGTTGTGCTTTTTTTAATGTAAACTACTCGTGTTTTGCAAAAAACTGAACGTGATGGAGGGAAATGAAATCATTTTTGGGTTCAGCACCCTAAAAAACATACAATTTACCCGAAATATCCCATGCAGCTGAAAATATTTTGTTTTGTTTTTTGGAGACCTGTGCAATCTGAGTCTTTGCAGCAGGGGACTCGCCCCCTGCTGGGCATTAGAGAGAATACAGGTTTGAAGACAAGAAGGAAGTTTTTGCATTAGGCCGTCAGGAGTCTGCCTAACCAGGTTATTATAGTTAATTCAAACTACACTAAAAGAACAAATTTAAATAAAATAAAAATAACTGACAATCTAAACTTGTCAATTTAAATAAAATGGAAATATGAATAAAACTCCCCACTCACCCCTGTGAGCGGTCTATCCTTCAAGCTCGGGTCCTGCACAGTATCTGAGCTGCTCCTGTTCCTAGGACTGCGCTCTTCTGCACAGAGGTCTCCGATGTTGTTTCTGGGATCTGCTGGATCCACTTGCCCAGTTTGGGGGTCCCTAACACTGGGAGCACCGTTACCTTCACCCTGCACGTCTTCTCGAGCTCTTCTCTGAGCCCTTGGTCCTTCTCAAGCTTCTTGTGTTCCTTCTTCCTGATGTTGCTGTCATTCAGTATCACTGCATCGATCACTACGGCCGTCTTCCTCTGCTTGTCTTACGCCACTATGTCGGGTTGGTTAGCCATTTGTCCGTCTGTATCTGTCCCACAGGATCTTTGCTTGGTCATTCTCAACCACCCTAGGGGGCGTGTCCCATTTTGACATGAAGTTTGTTATCCTTAAAGTTCTTTCAAAAGACTCCAGCCAATCCAAAATGCAATGATAGACCTCACAGTACCATATCACCCTATTAGAGCACTTCGCTCTCGCACTGCAGGCCTACTTGTTCTTCCTACAGTATTTAAAAATAGAATGGGAGGGAGAGCCTTCAGCTTCGTCCCCTCTTTAGGAGACAGACACCGTCTCTATTTTGAAGGCTGCAGTACTGCATGTCCTTAAGTTTTGTCTTCTCTCTGTCATAGGGTGTAAGCAGGCAGCTTCCCTTCCCTAAGTCTGGTCCTGATGAAGCCTGTTGGAGAAAAGGTGGTGCAGTGTGCCTGCTGTTATGGAAGGGGGAATTATCTTTAGAGACTGAAACAGTTTTTATAGCTGTGTTACGTCCACACATGACATGTTTCTTTCTGCTGTAAGTTTGGACATTTGAACACGAGCGTCTGGGGGACTGATTGGCTTCTGGGAAAGTGGTCGGTTTGTTTTTTCCACTTAGACGTTCTTTCAGTTTCACAGCTTCACATTTCTCTGAGTCAGTGAAGCTGAAATAGGCTGATAGCAGCAGTCTGGTTAATTTGGGATGTCACGCAGCCTGGTCTACAGGAATTACACAGAGATGAAAAGTTTCTGTTTCCCGTTAAGGAAAAACGGGACTTGCCAGTTTTCCTAGCAAAGCTGCTGCTTAAGAATGAAAATTGAATAAATGCAGGAAAATGAACCTGACTGCTTAAAGACGCAGATCTGGTTAGTTTTCCTCATGGATCTGACGCACTGACGAGGCGTCTCACTCTATTCTGCCCTGAATTATTTACGTCCTACTTTCCTGGCAGATGCACATCCCTTTAGTCACCACTGGAAGGAAGGAGTTTCCTCTTGTTATGACTTATCATCACAAATGCAAACAGTGAATTCTGGGTGACTCAACACCTTGACGCAACCGGGACACAACTTTTAGGGCTTTGGCTTCAGCGAGCCTGGCTGCGGTCCAATCAAAGCAAGCAACAGTCCCGTGTTTTCAGAAAAAGCTTTCTGACGCACAATGTGAGATGGGCACATTGGAACATTCTTGGTAAATGCTTTCGTCCGTCTTGCGCCGGTCCAAGAATTTCACCTCTAGCAGCACAATGCGAATGCCCCCGGCCATCCCTCTTAATTTAGCGGGACCGGTCCTTTTGTTCTCTTCTGTTGAGTGAGTTGATTGCAGCACTGATAGGCTCAGACTAAAAGAAAGGAATCTGCTTGTTGCACCAAATGCTGGCCTGCAGGTCATGTGTTTGTTTCCCTCACTATGGAGAGACTGTATATCATATTTCAGCAGGTATATTCCAAACATTTCACATAATGTACTGTCCCTGATTTATTAAAAAGCACATTTGAACACAGGTGCAATATTAGCATGTGCATTTTTAAATATATAGAGTTGTGACCCAAAAAGGCATCAGAAACACAAAGAGCATCATGTATGACACAATAAAAATACCAAAATAAAATGAGATCAAATAAAACATGAAGCACATTATTTTGAAAAGCCAAACACATATAAAATAATGAATAAGACAAATAAAATTCCCTCTGAAGTTAAATGAACACATTTAAGCTCATGATGAAAGTCAACAAGAGGAAATACGCTTGTTTTTCTTCCACTTCTCTCCTTTTGCCTCCTAAACGAGCTCACCACAACGAGGAAGTAGAAACACAAAATTGCACACAGTCACAATAAATGTGCGGGTTTTCTCAAAGTGTGAAAACAGATTCACAGAAACTTTTTTCTGGTGGAAGTGGACGAGGAAGTGAAAACCGCCACACAACTCACAACGTCACCCCACAGCGCTGCAGTCCGGCCTGCGAGTACCTGGACAGGTGTTTGCGTTTCAGACTCAACACGCTGAAAATGAAAGAGAATAACAGAGATCTGTAATCTGTGCTCCGACCTCACAGGTCAGAGGTCGTGCTGACTGGAGCACTGTGACTTTGTTCTGCTAATATTACCAGTATTACTGTTCATTACTACTGCACTACAACTTGTACCATATGTGCTTTATAAAGTTAAATTCATATCAAACATATTAAACATAGCTGCTATGATCTTTTCTACTCATTCCTCTGCATCTACCAGCAGTGTCGAGGTGGTCAGAGGGTCCCAGAGGAAACCAAGTGACTGTTTTTAATGTTTCTAATGTTTCTAATGAAGCCGTGGAAGGACTTTATTTTTATTTATTTAAAATGAGAAATCAGCTTGTGGCCCCGTCCCTCTCTGAGCCTGGTTCTGCCGGTATTTCTTCCTTTTAAAAGGGAGTTTTTCCT